ATGAATAAAAGTTCTAGACCTCATGGCATTCATTACCCACCCAATGTGGGACAGGGATGAGATGATTTCCAGCACTGTTATTGCGCCTCCAGTTTGCTCTGTCTGCTCCTCCTGAATTTTGGTTTAACTTGCAGGATTTCTTTAAAAAATAATTCCAGAAAAGAAGTACAGTGGTACCTCCAGTTGTGAACAGGATCCATTCTGGAGGTATGGCCGGATCCCGAGGTTCTTGCAACCGGAGGAGAAGCGGTCGACTGCTTCTGCGCATGCGTGCACAGCAAAACGCTTCTGGGTTTGCTGCTTTCGCAACCCGAAGTTTATGTTACCCGAGGGTAACGTAAGCTGAAGTGCTACTGTATGCAGCCAAAGGGAAAGCACACATTGATTAAGTAGTGGACAAAAGCAATCTTGATGCAACTGTACATTTCCGAGCACAATTCAAAGTGTTGGTGCTGACCTTTAAAGCCCTAAATGCCCTTGGTCCAGTATACCTGAAGGAGCATCTCCACCCCCATCGTTCAGCCTGCACACTGAGGTCCAGTGCCGAGGGCCTTCTGGCAGTTCCCTCGCTGTGAGAAGCCAAGTTGCAGGGAACCAGGCAGAGGGCCTTCTTGATAGTGGCGCCTGCCCTGTGGAACACCCTCCCACCAGATGTCAAAGAGAAAAACAACTACCAGACTTTTAGAAGACATCTGAAGGCAGCCCTGTTCAGGGAAGCTTTTAATGTTTAATATACTATTGTATTTTAATATTCTGTTGAAAGCTGCCCAGAGTGGCTGGGGAAACCCAGACAGATGGGCGGGGTATAAATAAATTATTATTATTATTATTATTATTATTATTATTATTATTATTATTAGATGTATGACTGCATTAAGATTCTTCTACCGTGATCTTCTGTGGATGCCCATGAAACCCTCTTTGCTCATACACCAGACCCAAATACCCTTGATGCAGCAATATGTACAATAAAATCCAGCATGACTTTTTAAAAAAGTTACTACTCAATACTCAGCTATTGATCATTAATGTTCAAGAGGGGGAAAGACTGTTCGGTTAGTTCAGAACATGCTTTTGCATGCGGAAGATGCTCAGCATCACCAGGCGTGGCTGAGAAAGACCCAGGGGAGAAGTTCAATTCCCATCACATCTAAAGGTGAGACTACATAATCGGCACTTTCCGAAGCAATACAGGCAACTTTCAAAATTTGCACTTCTCCAGATTTTGCAATGCTGTTCGTCAGTCACGTACTATGTAGGGGGGAAATGAACAAAAAGGTTTTCCCCCCTCATTTATACCACCAGAACTCATGGACATGAGTTGAATGTTGAAAGATTCAGGACACGTTAAAAAAATAAAAATCCTTCTTCAGGCACCTTTGATCATATGTGGTGGAAGTGTAAGGTAATAAAAGCATTCTGGGAAATGATATATAATGAACCGGGGAAAAAATGTTTAAAATAACTTTTATTAAAAAAAACACACAGAGGCTTTTCTATTAGAAATTGTAGGTGCCAAAATTCCAAGGGAGCAGAAATTACGTTTTATGTATGCGACAACAGTCATGCGGATATTGTTAGCTCAGAGATGGAAAGAAGATAAAGTCCCTACCAGAGAAGAATGGCAAATGAAGTTGTTGGACTATGCTGAAATGGCAAAACTGACCAGAAAGCTCAGGAACCAGGAAGACCAAAACTTTAATAAGGAATGGGGGAAATTTACAAGTTATCTTAAAAACCACTGTAAACAGTTGAAAACATTAGCAGGACTGCGATAACACTTGTAATGAGAACTATGGATGCAATGGAGTTATATAAAAAATCTTGGATTATTTTTAAAAAGATGCAGTGGAAAAGGTTTAATAGCAGAACCCACAGAGGGGAAGGTTGGAAGTCCAGAGATTCGGGAGAATCTTGTAAGTATGGGTGTGTTGTGGGATGTTTGTCTATGGAACTCACTGCCGCAGGAAGCAGTGATGGCCACCAACTTGAAGAAGAAGAAGAGTTTGGACTTGATATCCTGCCTTTCACTCCCCTTAAGGAGTCTCAAAGTGGCTAACAGTCTCATTTCCCCTCCTCCCCCACAACAAACACTCTGTGAGGTGAGTGAGGCTGAGAGGCTTCAGAGAAGTGTGACTAGCCCAAGGTCATCCAGCAGCTGCATGTGGAGGAGCGGGGAAGCGAACCCAGTTCACCAGATTACGAGTCCACCGCTCTTAACCACTACATCACACTGGCTCTCTTGGATGTCTTTAAAAGAGGATCGGACAAATTCCTGGAGCACAAGTCTATCAATGGATACTAGCCATGATGGCTGTGCCCGGCCTCCATGGTCAGAGACAGTAATGCTTTGGAATACCAATTGCTGGGAATTGCAAGGGAGGAGAGAGCTCTTGTGCTCAGGGCCTGCTTCTGGGCTTCCCACAGGCATCCGGTCAACCACTATGAGGACAGAATGCTGGTGGGGTGGGGTGCATAAAGATGCATCAATTATATTAGGCAAAATTGCGTAGAAATGTGTGTGTATTAGAAGAAATTCACACTAAAATGCTGGTGGGTTTTCCTGAGGGCTTCTTTATTAAAACTGTCAAACTGATGTGGAAATGTGAATACTGGAAAAATAAGAAATCAAGATAATGCTTTTTTTAAAAAAATAAAGGCATGGAAATGGTTTATTGAACGTTTACAGATAAATTGTAAACAGATAAAAACATTGGCAGGGTTAATTTAATAACCTGCAGTTGGAGTATATATTTAGAGAAGATGAATAAACAAGCAAATTAAGTTAATCTGGATACTCAAAAGATATTAAAAATTAGGAGCTGCAGAAAGAGCGGGAAGGAAGTCAAGTTCTGAAATGTCAAAATGATTGTAAAATCAGTGAAATGTATAAACTTGAAAAGTGTGTGTGTGTGTAGGGAAATGTGAATAAGTGAAGGTAAGTTTGAAAAAGTAAGAACCTGGGAGAAACTGAAAATATCAGATTTACGTGGACAGGCGGAGTTCCCAAAACCCTGGGCGGCCCCCATGTGGAATACGACTCAAGACAACATGCTATGGGATTAAAATTGGCCACAACTTTATTATGTTTCAGATGTGGGTAGAACTTGGCTCAGGCATTATCCCTCCCAGCCTCCCACCAGGGATCTGGAGAACATCAGGGTTATCCAGAGTGTGGGGGGGGATGGGCTGGCTCTGGAGAACATATGTTCAAGCAGAGAGAGCCCACCCCCGTTATGCCGCCATCGCAGGGGAGAGCAATGACAACCTTTAGGCGTACGGCCAAAGCCTCCCTTCAAAACAACCCCTTTAACGGGGAACCCTGGTATTGCTGCCACAAAGAGGAGGGGCGTGGGTCACCACTGCATGCCCCCCCCCATTTAGGGAAAATAGACTAAGGATTCTGCCCAAGGCCTGATACCGCCAAAGTTGTGATGTTTTGCTACGGGAAAGGCAAACCTGCCAATGCAGGGAAATTCCTTTCCGGCCCTTCAACAGGGACCCTGACATAGCAGCGCCCGCGTACCTGTGGAGAAACGGTTAACCTGCAAAAGAAGTCTTAACTGAGGGTGGGTAGGGTGGGAGAAGCTCTGGAGCCAACTGACGATTCCCAGATCCTCCCCTATTGTGTGGGCAAGGTGGTCCCCACCCCTACCTGGCCTGATCACCGTGGCAACGCCTCCCCAGGTGGGATTGGGCAACTGGCTGAGATAGGCGGAGACCTCCAGGTATCCCACCTGGGGAAGGCGAAGCCAAGCCTGTGCTAATGGGGCCACACAGGGTCCAGGGGGCTGTGCCCAACCACGCAAAGGGCACCCCCCATTTAATGTGCGGAGCGATCACTTCCCTTCCCTGGAGAATTTGCTTGACACTTCCTACCCGCAAACTTTGTTTCAGGTGTCATCTTCTTGTGCAGTTTGGTTCTCGTTGCTACGTGGTTGGCCTTTTTTGTTCCTCATTCCAAAATCATCCTTAGGAGCACTGCCAGTGCAGAGCAAGTGCTGGGAATGCAGAAGTTCCTGGTTCCCTTCCCTTGGCAATTGTTGATGGGAACAGCACATGACTCCAGTGCTCTGAAGCTTGCACTAGCTGCCCATTTGCTAGTAGGCCAGTTTCCCAAAATAGGAACTTAAGAAGCAGCCTTACACCGAGTCAAATCATTGATTCATCTAGCTAAATACTTTCTGCACTGACTGGCAGCACCTCTCCAGAGTTTCAGCCAATATTTTTTCCCAGCCCTACCTGGAGATGCTGGGGATTGAACCTGGGACCTTCTAGATTCAAAGCAGATACTCTTACCACTGAGCTACTGTGCTCCAACACTGAGCCTCCATACCCGCCAACATTTCTCTGATGAAAATAGGGACGTCCTATTCAATAATAATGATGATGATGATGATGATGATGATGATGATGATGTTATTTATATGCCAGCCATCTGACTGGGTTGCCCCAACCACTCTGGTTGCCTTCCAAGATATATAAAAACATAATAAAACATTAAACATTTAAAAAAATTCCCTATATAGGGCTGCCTTCAGATGGCTTCTAAAGGTTGTATAGTTACTTATTTCCTTGGCTCGGGGGTGGCATAACTCCATACCCTTCAACATTTCTCCGATGAAAATAGGGATGTTCTAAGGAAAAGTGGGACATTCCTTAGCTCTCAGCTCAAGAAATACCCCATACTAGAGGATAAACTTGTGTTTGTTTCTGCTTCTGCCATAAACCCATCAAAATACTTCAACCGGAACACCTCAAGTTCCAGTTTCAAGAGATTGTGACGTCCCTGGGGCAGTTGCGTTTTGTCTAACCGCTTTGCATGTACGCCTATCCTGCCTTTCATTGACATTTGACCTTGTGGGTGGAGCATGGGGAGCCATCTGAATACAGAAGCTCTTCTCTGCACCTCTGGAAGTTATTATGAAGAAACACAAGATGGATGGTGTCAACAGGATAAGGCTTCCTGGTCACCAAATGTCAGCAGGGCAACAATGCAGCCGAACAGGAAATGCAAAAGGTCAGGTTACGCATGGCAGTGGGTTCCAGGTGCTCATAAAACCGTCGTTCCCCAGGAGTGAACACACACAGTTTCCACAAGATGAAGGTCTTCCAGAGCATGGTAAGAATTCTCCCCTCATTTCCTAAACCCAAAGCAGCATGTTTCCTTTCCACTTTTCAGCTTTAGTATTGTGTTGAGATAGACAATTATGTACAACATTATCCATCCATAGTAAGAGGAGTGAAAGAGAAGGCAAGCAAAATATCAAAGACGGGGATGGGAAGCAGGGAATTGTCCCATTTTTTTCCTTCTGTTGTGATACTATAACTCAACATCCATTGGTCAGAATGAGTAGTCCACTTCCTGGAAAATTCAGCAGATCTCTCCTTCCATCTACGGTGTGTTAATTCTTCTTCTTATCTACTGTCTTCCTTCAGCTCCTTGGGGTGCTCTTGGCTCTGTCCCTCACAGGTAAGTGTCAACATCCCCCTTGTGATGTTTTGATCCAGCCATTGGGGAGGGAGCAGGTGTGCCTAGAGACACAGGAAGCTCCCTTATATTGGGTCAGACCACCGGTCCATGTAGCTCAGTGTTGTCTACACTAACTGGCTGCTGCTCTCCAGGGTTTGAGACTGAAATCTCTCCCAGCCCTACCTGCAGATGCTGAGGATTGAGTATGGGAACATCTGTAGGCAAATAAGATACTCTACCACTGACCTGCAGCTCTTGATCTAATGCATATCAAGGCTAGACCACAAAAGTATTAGACTAGGCCAAAAATATGCCTCAGCCAGCATGCCGAAAGGGGACTCTAATCACTCAGTCTTCATAACAGTGGATGACCATCCCTTTATTAATACAGAAACTTCAGGGGAAATGTAAAAGGTAAGGTAGAAATAAAGTCCAGTCAAATGCAACTATGGGGTGCGGCGCTCATCTCGCTTTCAGGCTAGGGAGCCAGCGTTTGTCCCCAGACAGCTTTCCGGGTCATGTGGCCAGCATGACTAAACCACATCTGGCACAATGGAACACTGTGATGGAAACCAGAGTGCACGGAAACGCCATTTACCTTCCCGCCGTAGTGATACCTATTTATCTACTTGCACTGGCATGCTTTGGAACTGCTAGGTTGGCAGGAACTTGGACAGAACAATGGTAGCTCACCCCGTCGTGGGGATTCAAACCACCGATCTTCTGATTGGCAAGCCCAAGAGGCTCAATGCTTTAGACCACAGTGCCACCTGTGTCCTTCTTGGAAATGCGCCTCTGGTTCGACTATAAGCTAAATGCCCAAGCTCTGGGAGGAACTATTTGTTGACTGATTTTTTTATTATTATTATTTCAAATTTATTAAGGAACGTGTGAAGTGGGGAGGAAGGGGGACAGAATAAAAACAAAATGGTCAGCTCACATCCCACCCCCCAGAGCCAAGTTCTGAGCCCAGATGTGTGCCTGGGAAAATCCACCAGAAATGTTTTTGAGGGGAAGACATTGAGGTGCAGTGGTGGTGGGCTGAAGCCAGGGAGACCCCACCTCAAATCTCAATTGAGCCATTCATAGTCTTCACTGAGAGACCCTGGACCACTCAACAGCTCTCTGTCCATGAGTGCTGTCCCTTAGGCAGTACTGGGTGAGACAGGCCATCTTGGTATTAAAAAGAGAAGGAGAAGAAGGAGAAGAAGGAAAGGGAAAGTTTTTTCTCCCACCTTAAATTTCATCATCATCATCATCATTATTATTATATCCCATCTTTCCTCCTAGGAGCTCAAAGTGGCTTCCATGGTCCTCCCTCCCACCCAATTTTATATTCACGCCAACCCGGTGAGATAGGTTAGGCTGAGAGGCTGTGGCTGTCCTAAGGTCACCTTTTGAGCTTCATGGCCAAGTGGCAATTTGAACCCTGGCCTCCCGGGGCCTAGTATTTTCCTTCATCCATCAAGGGGGTAAAGGGTTAAAGACCAGCCTTTCAATTCCACCTCCAATGTCAGAGTCTGTCTCAGCAGCCCCATCTCCCCACCTGCAGTTTACTTCAGAAAAGCCCTCGCTGAAATGACTAGTTGTGCACATGGAGTCTTATCTAGTTAAGCCCCAGGTTTCTGCATTACTTCTAGTCTAAACCGGTGGTGACCTGCTGCTTCTTTTCTTTAGGTGCTCAGGAGGTTAAACAACCCCCTGCAAAAGGTCAGTAATTTTCCTTTTCTCTTTCTGTTTCTCGGCTACAGATTCAGATGCACAAACCGGATAGTTCAAGCTCCTCTTGTATTGGGGAATTGGAGCTTGAGACATCCTGGGGGAGGGGTGGATGTGATCCGCTCTGGCCTGTGGTTTTTCGGAGGTGGGCGGGTTCATTTCTTTCTTTGCTATTTTATCTTCAATATTTACGAATAACTCCCCAAAACCTTTCTGGTCTATGGTTTAAAAAATAATTATTCTAACTCGAAATGATCATTCTAATTTGTAAATTAAAAAATATGTATTATTACTTATATTAACAGGATATTAGTATTTTATTGGTAATGTGCATTTTATATTTTATGTAATCTGCTTAGAGGTTTTGATAATTAAGCCTATATAAGGTAAAGGGACCCCTGACCATTAGGTCCAGTCGTGACCGACTCTGGGGTTGCAGCGCTCATCTCGCTTTATTGGCCAAGGGAGCCGGCGTACAGCTTCCGCGTCATGTGGCCAGCATGACTAAGCCGCTTCTGGTGAACCAGAGCTGTGCACGGAAATGCCATTTACCTTCCCGCCGGAGTAGACCTATTTATCTACTTGCACTTTGAGGTGCTTTTGAACTGCTAGGTTGGCAGGAGCAGGGACCAAGCAACCGGAGCTCACCCCGTTGCGGGGATTCGAACCACTGACCTTCTGATCGGCAAGTCCTAGGCTCTGTGGTTTAACCCACAGCACCGGCTTAATTATCGAAACCTCTAAGCAGATTACATAAAATATAAAATGCACATTACCAATAAAATCACACACACACACACACACACACACACACGTTAGCTTAAAACTTTTCAAAATAAAATATTCTGGTTAAAAATATATTTATTTTGGAAACTATGCAGGTTTAAAAATTGTGCATTATAAATTACATATTGAAACTCATGTTTGGGTAGACTTAAATTCAATATGTGTCCAGTGGGAGGGAAGGAGAAAGAAGGACAGATGAAAGCCTCTGCCTGCATTTCTGTGCCCCCTAACCTGCCACCAACTCCATGTAGGGTTTCAATCTCTGATTAAACATGCAGTTCCCCGACCATCCCTCCTTTTGACAGTCCTGGATCATGCCGGGTGGATTCAACCCACGGTGCTGCGATCTGCCTCAACCCACTCTGAGGAAATTCCAAATGATTTGGGATCTGGGGTTTGTTGCGAGCCAAGTGCCTGGTGCTAATAGGAAGAGCCCTGCTGGGTCCCATCTAGACCAGTATCCTGTTCCCACAGTTCCCACAGTGGCCAAATGGATGCCTCTGGGAAGTCCACAAGCAGGGCCAGAGTGAGCCAGCAGCTCTCCCCGCTTGCGATTCCAGGCAGCTGATATTCCAACTCATATACAGTCTCCAACAGTGGAGGCAGAACCTCCTCATCACGTGGGAATGAAAGAAAGCACGGGTGATTTAATTTGAGAGCTGCCCAAGCCATTAAGTGATTTACAATTGATAACATGCCGCTGTAATTTTGTGAGCTCTCTGGCAAAAACAGCTGAGTATATAGCTCTGATGCAGGAGGTTGAGTGAGGTGATTCTTGGGGAGCCTTTCTATGGGTGTAGCCAAGGGGGGCGGGGGGGCAGCTGTCCCCCATCAATCCAAACAATACAAATTAATACAAATCTGAGGTTCTGCCCCTCAACAAAAGCCTACCCCCCTAACAAAAACCTGCCCCCCCCAAAAAAAAATCCTGGCTATGCCCATGGCCACTTCCAACTCTATAATTCTACGGTTCTATATTGCAGCATTTTTTTTAAAAAAAATAGTTGTGACTTTCCAGCATTCTTATTTCTTTGAAGGGAAGACCAAAGGCACCTGCTTCCTTTGAAAGTCAGTTTTTCTTTTTTCTCTCTCCCCCCCCCCCACTTCTTTTGCAGAATGCAAGACCCGTTGGTTTGACCGCGACAATCCTTCCGGGACTGGGGACTACGAACTCCTGTCCCAGTTCTGGGATGAAAATCCCCACATCATCTGCCCCCAGCCGCTTGCCATTGAGGTCCAAACAGTGGATGGGATTCCGGCGTCTGAGACTGGGCAGAAGTTTTCTGTGTGAGATTCCATGTCCCCTATTCTACGGGTTCCTTAGCTGGGTTCTTATCTTTGAATTTCTGCCTCTTGCGGCTGCCTTTCCTTGGCCCATCCCTGACACCCTGTTCTTCCCTGTGTTCCCAACAGGAATGATGCCACCAGTGGCTTTGCTTGTATCAATGCCCAGCAAGAAAAGGGCAAGGCATGCCGTGACTATCAAGTGCGCTTCACTTGCCCCGAAGCCTACTGTCCTACTGGTGAGCATTTCCACATTTCTGTTACCAATACCATAACTACTTGAAAGGACTGCCGTGAATTTATTTAGGGATCTGATTCAAGGTGAATATTGGGGGCCTGTGCACACTCATAATAGACTGTTATGAGTTTTTGGGGGGAGAGTCAGTCTGGATGATGCCCTAAATCTCTTCCAATTATTGGGATCCTGCACCTGTGGGTATAGAATGTATACTAGCAAGTTTGCCAGTCTGGTTCCTATCTCAAGGCAATGGCTTTGACTGACTGGTTATGTATCACGATTTAGCATATCCAAAGAAGTTGCTCTGTGCCATGGAACAAATGGGTGGCCTTTCCCCCACCCCCTGACCTGGCTGGTACTTAGGAGAACAAAAGACAGAGTTGTTGTGTGAGAGAGTGAAAAACCTGAGCCCTGAATGCTGGAAGCTGGAGGACACAGAGATATGACTTGCTCATTGCTAGGCTTTGGGGCTCCCCTGGAAACCTAATAGGAATCTGATGGGTTGTTAGTGCTATGAGCCCATCCATCCAATGCTCAGGATGTATACATGTATAAATAAAACATATATCCTAGAGAGACCCCAGTCTCCACTGACCTTCGTTTCAAGGAGACCAAACCTCGGCTAAGCACTGGAACCCACTTGGAGATTGGGGTAGCATGTAACAATATATATTGGTCCAGGGTGGGGAGGAGGCTAGAGTTCCATCAGATCCTTCTCCTTCTGTCTTGACTACAAATGGGAGTCCAAAGGATAAGACAGGTGCCTGAGCAGGGCTTAGTCAGAAGCGTAAGGTGCTTGGGCGTTGCTGTGTTATGTTCCCAAGTATTTTGCAAATGCTTGCTTGCTTGCTTGGGCACATAGCACATCTCTTCCTGAAGGCCAAGACAGAATCACATGAAAACCAAAGCCAGTCACCCAACCAAATGACCTCGAAGAAATGCCAGAAAAATATTACAGAATTGCATCATATTCAAGTATCCCTGAAATCTCCCCAGAACACAAATGTTTCAAGTTTGAGCACATGGACAAAAAGAAGAGGAAATCTTCTCACACTGCATAGTTCAACTGTGCTCCCACAAGATGTAGTGATGGCCACCAAATTGGAAGGCTTTAAAATAGACAGATTCATCGAGGAGCAGGCTATCAATGGCTACTGGCCACAAAAATTGCCTCTGAAGACCAGTTGTTGGACATCACAAGTGGGGAGAGTGGCTGCTGCACTCTGGTCCTGATTCCAGGTTTCCCATAGGCATCTGTTTGGCCAATGTGAGAACAGGATACTGGACTAGATTGGCCAATGACCTGTTCAAGCAGGTTCTTCTGATGTTCTTAAAGCCAGTCCAAGCAGGTGGTTGTCAGAAAGCCTTTGAAAGGCTCTCCATGTTAGCATGCCTTTTTAGTGTCACACTGTCACAGCTGATTATAGAAACTTCCCTCACATCAATTAGATTAGCTCCAGCATGGCCACTACCACCCATTTTACTTTGGTACATAATGCACAAACAAACCTAACAGCACTCCCTCAAGCCAAATATACCAATAATGTGCAGCAACCTACAGTACAGACTTCAATACCTATCATTACCAATTCAAACTCCTCAGGAGGGGATGCTTATGGAATAAGTACAAAGTACTGGTTGGGGTTGGGAGATAATGTACAGGTTGAAATGTGCCACAGGTTGAAAAAACCCAGAGGAATCAACAAAGTGCTTTAGTAAATGGAATGCAAGCAAGCAAGCAAGCTGTGTTCTTTCTCCTTATAGCCTCCAGCCCTTCAGCAACATTGACACCAGAGACTTTACCTCCTGCTCAGACCTTTCACCCTGAACCAGAGCCAACCCCCAGTGCTGAGGGTCAGAAGGGAGGTAATAATGGAAAGAGGGCCGTCAAATCAACTGGTTGGGATCTGTTGCCATTTTAGTCATCCAGCATATGATTTCCGGGAGGTGGAAAGAACTCTGGGTGGAGATATCACCCAACTGCATCTTCTTTGGGTGGTGGACTGCACTGGACACTCACAATATTATTTGTGATATTTGCTAAATTTACAAATATAAAAACCTGGAGTAGATTGAAGTAAGTGGGCTTTCCTTCATTTGGGCACAGAGAAATGTCTTCAGCTGCCACTCCCATGTCTGCGCCCAAATTTCATTTCTGAATTCTCTCTTCAGTCCCCAGCCCCCAGGCTCCACTGGGACCAGAGACGACTTTACCTCCAGTCCAGACACCTCAGCCTGGACCAGAACAAACCACCAGTGCTGAGAGTCAGAAAGGAGGTAAGAACGAAAAAAGGATAAGGCAAGGCACAGACTCATTTGGGCTCGGCTGCTCTTGTGTCATGTAGAATATAGCACAGTCCTCAGTTTTGAGTTAAGGTAGGAATTTCTGCATAGAATCACCATCTGGTTCCATTTGCTTTGGATGACAGACCTTACTGGGCACTTAGTGTCCTTTGTGATATATGCTTGTTGCAAATATAGATACTTAGCAGGAGAGGAGTAAAACCATCAGTAGGTCAAAAATCCCCATGGAGAAATGTATGCATCTGATATGACTGTGGTTGCACCACAAGTTTCACTTCTGACATTTCTTATCAGCCCCCAACCCCCAGGCTCCATTGAGACCGGAGACGACTTTACCTCCAGTCCAGACACCTCACCTTGGACCAGAACAAACCACCATTCTGAAGGAAGGTAGGAATGGAAACAGAGGTATCTAATCAACTGATTGGGATCTGTTGCCATTTGAGTCATCTAGAACAATAATCTCTGAACTCTTTCTTCAGCCCCCACTCCCCAGGCTCCATTAAGACCAGAGACAACTTTACCCCCAGCCCAGACACCTCACCCTGGACCAGAACAAACCACCATTCTGAAGGGAGGTAGGAATGGAAACAGAGGTGTCACATCAAATGGTTGGGATCTGTTGCCATTTGAGTCATCTAGAACAGTTGTTCCTAATTAGCTAAGTACTGCAGACCCCCTGTTTTTGAAAAGCCAAGCCATGCACCCCATGCTTTTGAAAATGTTGATATCTCTATAGTAGCTTTTGTTATGTGAATGGTGCCACAGACCCCCTGGGTGGGTAATGCAGACCCCCTGGGGTCCGCATATCACCAATTGGGAACCACTGATCTACAATATTGTGTGTTCCCCACGTCTAAGAGGTGATTAGAATTTCTGGGAAGAGATGCCACCCAACTGCATTTTATTTGGGTGGTAGACTGCACTGAACACTAACAATGTCCTTTGTGATATTTGCTTAATTTACAAATATAAATGTCAAGAATGAATTGAATCAAGTGGGCATTCCTTCAAGGAGGCACAGAACACCACAGAGAAATGTCTTCAGCTGCCACTCCCAAGTCTGCACCCCAAGTTTAATCTCTGAACTCTTTCTTCAGAGCCTACTCCCCAGGTTCCATTAAGACCAGAATCAACGTTCCCTCCAGCCCAGACGCCTCACCCTGGACCAGAACAAACCACCATTCTGAAGGGAGGTAGGAACGAAAACAGAGATGTCTAATCAACTGGTTGGGATCTGTTGCCATTTGAGTCTTCTAGAACAATATTTTCTGAATTCTTTCTTCAGCCCCCACTCCACAGGTTCCATTGAGACCAGAGACGACTTTACCTCCAGTCCAGACGCCTCACCCTGGACCAGAACAAACCACCATTCTGAAGAAAGGTAGGAATAGAAACATAGATGTCTAATCAACTGGTTGGGAGCTGTTGCCGTTTGAGTCTTCTAGAACAATAATTTCTGAACTCTTTCTTCAGCCCCCACTCCACAGGTTCCATTGAGACCAGAGACGACTTTACCACCAGCCCAGACACCTCACCCTGGACCCCAACAAACCACCATTCTGAAAGGAGGTAGGTATGATGGGAAAGTTTGTTTTTCTGTACAGGTTGCATTACCAAGTGTTTTCTTTTTCTTTTTCCCTGCCTGCAAACAGTTAATGAATGGCAGCTCCTGATTGGCCAGGGTTCCAAGAGAGGGAGTTGAAAAGGAGAGGATTTGGAGAGACAGGTTTCAGTTTGGGAGATAGAGAGTGAGAAGAGAAAGAGTTTGTTCTGGGTAGAAACATCCACTCTGAGGAATATATCAAAAGCTACAGAAAGGAGTCTCTGAGTTTAGTGTGAAGGACAGTGTCCTGTGAGAGTAATAGGCCATGAATTAACTAGGAGGCTGAGGCTGAGCCAGGAGAAGTAGAAGCTGGAAAGATACAGTCTACTTAAGTCTCATTCCAGTCAGGAGGGGAGAGATTCTGCTACAAAAAGGGAATACTACCAAACCAGTTAAGAGGGGTGTGGTGATCCCTTGGGTCTGTTACTTGGAGTACCTCAGCAGTAGGGTTCTCAAAGGGGTGTGTAACTGACAAGAAGTACCACCTTGTTTAAGAACCAAGGTATTAAGCAGCAACAGCTGTGCAACTGAGAAAGAACTGAAGTGAAATAACTGGAAATAAGCTGAACATTTACCCTTTAGTCTAAAAACCTGTAACATCTACCTGAAGCGAAGTAACTGAACATAAGCAACTGAAGTTTAAAAGAAGCTGTGCTTGATCAGAAGTCCATAACAACACTTAGGTTTAGTATAAATATTATTAGGTGAACAGTTTCCTGAAATAACATTATAACCAGAAGTGTCCTTTGTTTAATAAAATATTTCTTGTTTATTTGATCAAATCCTGCCTGAGACTCCAAATCATAAAGTTTTCCCTCACACAAGTCCCCCACTAGATAATATGGGGTAATTTGTAGAAATTCATGTAATTGGTGTACTGTGAGATGGTTGCACTATATTTGCGTGAGGGCAGGCCCAATGGTGCCGAGGGGGGGAAATGTCATTGCGCCATCACAGTAGGAATAGAAACAGAGATGCCTAATCAACTGATTGGGATCTGTTGCCATTTGAGTCGTCTAGAACAGTTGTTCCTAATTAGCTAAGTACTGCAGGCCCTCTGTTTTTCAAAAGTCAAGCCATGCACCCCATGCTTTTGAAAAGTTTGATATCTCTGTAGAAGTTTTTGTTATGTGAATGGTGTCACAGACCCTCTGAGTGTCCACAGATCACCAACTGGGAACCACTGATCTAGAGTATTGTGTTTTCCCCACGTCTAAGAGGTGACTAGAATTTCTAGGAAGAGATGCCACCCAACTGAATTGCCTTTGGGTGGTAGACTGCACTGAACACCCACAATGTCTTTTGTGATATTTGCTTAATTTACAAATATAAATGTCAATAATGAATTGAAGCAAGTGGGCATTCCTTCAAGGAGGCACAGAACCCCACAGTTCAGCTACCACTCCCAAGTCTGCACCCCAAGTTTAATCTCTGAACTCTTTCTTCAGAGCCCACTCCCCAGGTGCCATTGAGACCAGAGACAACTTTACCTCCAGTCCAGACGCCTCACCCTGGACCAGAACAAACCACCATTCTGAAGGGAGGTAAGAATGGAAACAGAGATGTCTAATCAACTGGTTGGGATCTATTGCCATCTGAGTCACCTAAAACAATAATCTCTGAACTCTTTCTTCAGCCCCCACTCCCCAGGTGCCATTGAGACCAGAGACAACTTTACCTCCAGTCCAGACGCCTCACCCTGGACCAGAACAAACCACCATTCTGAAGGGAGGTAGGAATGGAAACAGAGGTGTCACATCAAATGGTTGGGATCTGTTGCCATTTGAGTCATCTAGAACAGTAGCTCATAATTAGCTACGTGCTCCTGGCCCTCTGTTTTTGACAAGCCGAGCCATGCACCCCATGCTTTTGAAAATTTGACTTACCTATAGTAGTTTTTGTTATGTGAATGGTGCCCTGGACGCACCGGGGTGCGTTATGCAGACCCCCCAGGGTTCTCAGATCACCAGTTGGGAACCACTGATCTAGAATATTGTGTGTTCCCCATGTTTAAGAGGTGACTAGAATTTCTGGGAAGAGATGCCACCCAACTGCATTTTATTTGGGTGGTAGACTGCACTGAACACTAACAATGTCCTTTGTGATATTTGCTTAATTTACAAATATAAATGTCAAGAATCAGTTGAAGCAAGTGGGCATTCCTTCAAGGAGGCTCAGAACCCCACAGTTCAGCTACCACCCCCAAGTCTGCACCCCAAGTTTAATCACTGAACTCTTTCTTCAGAGCCCACTCCCCAGGTTCCATTAAGACCAGAAACGACATTCCCTCCAGCCCAGACACCTCACCTTGGACCAGAACAAACCACAAGTGCTGAAGGTCAGAAAGGAGGTAAGAAAAAGGGAAAGAGGTGGCAAGGCACAGAATTAATTTAGCTCTGTTGATGTGCCATGTAGAATATTGGGCAGTCCTCACTTTTGAGTTGAGATAGGAATTTCTGCACAGAGGTACCACCTGGTTCCATTTCCTTTGGATGACAGGGCTTCCTGGACACACAACATCCTTTCTGATATTTGTTTGATTTGCAAATATCAAATTTGCAAATCAAACAAATCCACCTGTCACGAGTGGAGGAAAACAGGCTGGCCTTTCATGGGTCAAAAATCCCCATGGAGAAATATATGCATCTGATACTACTAAGGCTGAACCACAAGTTTCACCTATGGCATTTTTCTTCAGCCCCCACTCCCCACGTTCCATTAAGGCCATTAAGACCAGATACTACTTTACCTCCAGCCCAGACGCCTTACCTTGGACCAGAACAAACCACCACTGCAGGGGGTCAGAAGGGGGCTAAGAAGAGGAGAAAGAGGTGGCTAATCAGACCCAGTTGGGCTCTGCTGATGTTTGCATGATCTGGATTGAAGCTATATTCAGACCTCACCATCTAGTCCAGCTTCCTGTTTTCCACCCTGGACAACCATATACCCCTGGGAAACCCACATGCCTCCCTCCCCCCCCAACAAGATACAACACAAGTTTCACCTCTAATCTTCTTCTTCAGCTCCCACTGCCCAGGCTCAGTTGGGACCAGAGACAAGTTTTCCTCCAGCTCAGACACCTCAACCTGGACCAGAAGAAACCACCAGTGCTGAGAGTAAAAAAGGAGGTAAGAAAGGATTTAACCTGGGTCCTTCTGCATGCAAAGCAGATGATCTACCACTGAGCTACAGCACTTCCTCAACTTTTGAAAGATTGATGAACTAGGAGAGGGAACTGGATCAATGTTTGTAAGGGGCGGCTTCTCAAAAATCTTTTGGCCCAGCCCCAAGTTTCCAAATAGACACACTTTAATGGTTCAGAATTAGGTCCTTGGGCCCCATTGGTGTGTTCACAGGGCATCCTAGGTTGCCACGGTATGGGGGGGAATCATTATCTACTTTGTATCCATCTCTGTAGAAAATGATGGTCATTTCAATGATGATGATGATGATGAGTGTGGAGAGGAAGATTTTGCATCTCTAGCTCCAACCCCTGACTCAGAGCAGATTCTTACCCAAAGTCCCCAGAAAGGTAGGGATGAGCAGAGAGGAGAGGCAGACAAAATAGCAATTGGTAAAGGGAGGGACGCCCTTCTAATCTGTTGGTGGGCCACATGCCAGTATTGGGCAGGGCTGAATCCAGTGGTGGATGGGATCAATTTGAGTGTTAATTTGATTTGTATATTGGTTAAATATAAAAAATACTAAATATGGTAAAATAAAAGGAGAATTCCCTGGATGCCTAGATCCAGGTTTGGGGCAAGCCCCAGCAGAGCCCCAGCAGAGATTTAAAATCACAAAACATACAGCCAAGTAAAGTGTGGAAATAGAGGCTGTTAAACTTTTTAAAATATCCCTAAGTTGCTTCCAAATTTTACAACTTCCCTTAGAAAAGAAAGAGACCACACATTTGGTAAGTTAAAAATGGTTTACTTACCAACTCATCAAAGGTCAGATTCATGTGCTTTTCTATACAGCAGCAAGAAAGACAAACAGCATGTATAACTTAGGTTTCAAAATGGTTCCAAATGTTTTCTAAATTATTTGTTTAGAAAAACCATGACAGCTTGCTAAAGCCACATAGTTTAAGCTCGGAGGATGGAGCTTAAGCCTGGTAGGGTTCACACAGTGGAAGGAAAGAACCAAGGCTTGATAACCTCTCAAGGTTAGGGGGAGTAACCTAGCTAAGTTTGACAGAACAGTCTACTCTATGGTCTTAACCCATTCATGCATTAAGCCTATGAGTCTGGATTTATCCCACACAGAGCTTAGTGTATAGGAGTCACAACCACCCTCTCTGCCACCCCCTTCTTTCTCTTTACCCCCAGTGGGCTACCAGAGAAGAGTCAGATCATTCTTGGCAGAGAGCTGAGCTAATCACTTTCAGAGGGCTTCCCCCCAACTCTCCTACTTACACCACTCCATTCATTTCATATATTTTCCATTGCATTTTTTCTCACTCACTCCCCTCCCTGGCTCCACTCCAGCTGCATGAAATTAGGATGAGGGCTGCATGGGCCCATGGTGCACAATCTATCTTAGGAGTGTCTACACTGATTGGCAGTGGCTCTCCAGGGTTTCAAGCTGGAGCTCTTCCCATCCCTTCCTGGAGTTGCCAGGCATTGAACCTGGAACCTTCTGCATATTGCAAAGTTACAGCCCTTCCTCATAAAGATGTCCACAGAGTTGTATGCAGCATTAATCCTACCCAGGGTAGACTCTTTGAAATCAATGAGCATGGCAGGCTTAGATCCATTAATTTTAATGGGTCTACTTTGAGCAGGACTTTTGTTGTTTAGTCGTTTAGTTGTGTCCGACTCTTCATGACCCCATGGACCAGAGCACGCCAGGCACTCCTGTCTTCCACTGCCTCCCGCAGTTTGGTCAAACTCATACTGGTAGCTTCAAGAACACTGTCCAACCATCTCGTCCTCTGTCATCCCCTTCTCCTTGTGCCCTCCATCTTTCCCAACATCAGGGTCTTTTCCAGGGAGTCTTCTCTTCTCATGAGGTGGCCAAAGTCTTGGAGCCTCAGCTTTACAATCTGTCCTTCCAGTGAGCACTCAGGGGTGATTTCCTTAAGAATGGATAGGTTTGATCTTCTTGCAGTCCATGGGACTCTCAAGAGTCTCCTCCAGCACCATAATTCAAAAGCATCAATTCTTTGGCGATCAGCCTTCTTTATGGTCCAGCTCTCACTTCCATACATCACTACTGGGAAAACCATAGCTTTAACTATACGGACCTTTGTTGGCAAGGTGATGTCTCTGCTTTTTGAGATGCTGGATCACTGCCTTGCCGTGGCGAAGGAGCTTGAATAACTCAGAGAAGCTATGAGCTATGCCATGCAGGGCCACCCAAGATGGACAGGTCATAATGGAGAGTTTTGACCAAACATGATCCACCTGGAGCAGGAACCGGCAAGCCACTCCAGTATCCCTGCCAAGAAAACTCCATGGAAAAAGAGCAGGACTTAGTTGGGTGCAACCCTTAGATTTCCTGTAGGTGTAAAAGACTAGCCTACATCAGAATCTCAGCCTCCTGCAGCAACATTTCTCTTTGAACTGCAAGGGACATCTGCAATCCCATCACAATGTGTGCATGAAAACATGCTGTGGTTTTACTTAGGGTTGCTGCTTCTGCATCCTCATTCAAATCTCTCCCTGGATTTTGGAGTTTTGGATTATGTGGCCTTGTTCCCCTATAGTACCTTTGCACAAGGAATTCTCCATCTTTTTCTTATTTTCCAAATGTTGAAGGGAACCACACTATGTGCACACCTTTTGCATCAGTTTTCAGTCCCTTTTAGTTTAAATGTGGGGAACCTTTGACCCATCAGCCCCAGCAAGCATGATAAATGGCCAGGGATCATGGGAGTTGTAGTTCAGCAGCATCTAGAGGGTCAAAGGTTGCCCACTTTCTGTGTCCTTTTTCTGCCTCTTCTTCTATACATGCACCAATAAAACAGATGTATCTGTACTTTGTGTTTTGGTTTCAGAAGATTTTTAACTTTGTTGTCTTGTATTTTTGTTCTTGTTAATCCCCCAGTTTGCAATACACGCTGGTTTGATGAAGATGATCCTTCTGGAACTGGGGACTACGAATTCTTCTTTGACATCTTGGACAAGTATCCCAATGACATTTGCTCTGAACCAACAGCTATAGAGGTCCAGACATTGGATGGGACCCCAGCTTCTGAGACTGGGCAGATATTTACTACGTGAGAATTTAGTATTGTGTGAAATGGGTCTTGGAAATTGGTGGGGGATATCATTATTATTATTATTATTATTATTATTATTATTATTATTATTATTATTATTATTACTGTGTCTTGAGCTTTCATTTTGTGTCCAAACTAGGGATATGAAAGAATAATAGAATTGTAGAGTTGGAAGGGATCCCAAGGGTCACCTAGTCAAGGAATCACAGCTAAAGAATCCCCGAGAGATGGCCATCTAACCTCTGTTTCAAAACTTCCAATGAATGAGAGTCCACTACACCTCTGAATAAGCATGCACAATGTTGCACTGGCGATGTGGTTTAATTCTTGTCGTAAAAGAAATGCAAAGCTCGACTTCAACTTTTACTTTTATTGGAATACCTGTAAATATCTTATGGCATGACTAGGCAGTCCCCTTTCATTATTGCAGTTTAAGGCATTGAAAATGCATTGAAAACCCTATGTGATAGCACGAGACAAGGCTATTGAGACTCCTTTTCTCTGAACAGCAATGATGCCCGCACTGGCTTTTCCTGCATTCATGCCTCCCAGGGAAAAGGCAAGCGCTGTCATGACTACCAGGTGCGATTTACCTGCCCACTGTCTTTCTGCTCTGGTAAGTTTTTAACTGCTTTGTTCTTTGAATCCTGTTGATGAAATTCTTCCTGGTTCAGTGTGTAGAACAGATAATAGAATGCAGTCAGACAAACCACAGATTGTAGGTTAAGTAACACATGGATTATAGAGTTGGAAGAGACTGCAAGAGTCATCTAGTCCAACCCCTGCAATGCAGGAATTTTTTTTGCCCAATAATAATAATAATTTATTTATACCCCGCCCATCTGGCTGGGCTTCCCCAGCCACTCTGGGAGGCTTCCAACAAAATATTAAAATACCGTAGTACATCAAACATTAAAAGCTTCGCTAAACAGGGCTGCCTTCAGATGTCTTCTAAAAGTCTGGTAGTTGTTGTTCTCTTTGACATCTGATGGGAGGGCATTCCACAGGGCGGGCGCCACTACCGAGAAGGCCCTCTGCCTGGTTCCCTGTAACTTGGCTTCTCACAGTGAGGGAACCTCCAGAAGGCCCTCGGCGCTGGACCTCAGTGTCTGGGTAGAATGATGGTGGGGGAGACGCTCCTTCATGAATGAAGGAGGAAGGAGAGGGGAAAAGACAAATGAATGTTTGGCTAATACACAAAAAATGTAGCTCCTTCTTTGGAAAGCCTGCTCCATCACAGTGGCCTGAAACTCAGAATCTTTCCCATAGGTGGTGAGATCCGATCCACCCCGGGACCAGAACCTGTTACACCTCCTGCCCCAACTCCCACCTTGAAACAAGTTGAAAGCAGTCCAGAAATCCCAGTGAAAGGTACGTATGCCACCCTATAGTTATTCCAAGAAATACTTGGGATATATAACAAAAGTGTCAATGATCCTATCCACGTGTGGGAGAAAAAGCCCTTCTCTGGATGCCAATCTTGGGAGAAGAACTAAAAGGTGAAAATTTCATATACTTTGGTAACATGAAGTGGAACTACAGGAGCTGAAAGCTACATGAACTTGCTCAAATTCCGGAATTAATATTAGGAATCCTTCTACATCATTTGTCTGGAATCTTGGGGGAATGGAAAGCAGGACAAAGTTAGCTAAAGAGCCAATAAAGAAATAGTAGAAATAATCCCATCTCCTAGCAGTGGCAGATTATATACACATTATGCAGTATACAATCCTAAGGAAGATAGCATCTGGAGGTGGAGCTCAAAGAACAATTGCCTAAGGAATAAGCAGAGGGCCACAGCATTTCCTGGGAGGGATGACCGCATCGCATTGGTCCTCATCTTTTAGGCCTTAAATTGGAATCTTTCTCCATAGGTGGTGAAATCCCATCCACACCAGGCCCAGAGGCAGTAACATCTCCTGCCCCAACTCCAACCCTGGAAGAAATTAAAGGCAGTCCAAAAATCCCAGTAAAAGGTAGGGATGCAATACTATCTTGAGAGATACTGGGGATTCATACAGAAGTGTCAAAGGTCCTATCCACGTGCTGGGGAAAATGCTGTACTCTGAACGCTATTCTTGGGAGAAGACCCCAAAAATGGATTATTTCACACACTTTGGTAACATGAAGTGGAACTACAGGAACTGAAAGCTACACAAACTTGCTCAAATTCCAGAATTTATTTTAGGAATCCTTCTACGACTTTTGTCTGGAATCCCGGGAGAATGGAAAGCAGGACAAAATTAGCTAAAGAGCCAATAAAGAAATAGTAGAAATAATCCCATCTCCTAGCAGTGGAGAACTTTGGGCTTTTAAATTTCAGCAGCACCCTGTGCAACACCCCAAAACATTTTTTTGGGGGGGTCTCACCTCTCACCTTCTGTTCTAAGTCATTGTTGTGGGACTCCCTGTGGCACCCTCTTGGCTCAGTGCTCAGTGTGGGCGAACCGGTTGTTCTCACCCTAAATCTGCCTTTGCTCCTAGATCTAGTCCAAATAAATAAATAAATAAATAAATAAATAAATAAATAAATATTCATCTATGTTGGTTCCAGACGATTGCTTTAAGTAACAGATCACAACCATGCCTTCCTCCACATTCTGCCTTCTACTAGAATTCTCCTTGCTCTAAGTAATAGTGGTCAGCAGTGCTCACCTGACCTGTCATCACTGGTGTTGCTGCAGCTTACTAGGAGTGACTGGCGGCAGAGAGGTAGGCATGGTGCAAATGCACCAGCAGGAACACTGGATTGGTTCCAGCAGTGCATTCTACCACAACGACCACGCTTCTGCCTTGCCACTGCTCAGAAGTCAAAGCACTGCAGCCCCACCAAGTGCTACTGGCTCTTACCTTAACATGTCAGCCTCCAAGTAAGTACCCTCTCCCACCTACCCACACACCACAACATAGCTCACCGCAGCAGGGGGGAAAACAAGGTATGTCGTCAACACAGAGCCTGATTCAAGAAATGCTCCATTTGGGACATGTGCAAGAGTCAAAAGTGGTGTCCACAGGCTGGAGAGCAAGTTGTTCTCCGTGTGCAGTCTTTGGAGAAAGACCTAGAATTGGGATGGGAAACGTGTGGACCTTCCAGATTTTGCTGGACTCCCAGCATCCCAGACAGTTGAACATGCTGGCTGAGGAGTATAGGAACTGGAGTCTAACAACATATAGGGGTCATAAAGTCCCACAGCCTGACCTAGAAGATAGAAAAAAGCGGAAATTATAGATGTGTGTATAGATGTAGATATCATACAAGAGATTCCAATGAATTTGAAAAATAACCATAGCACTGAATTCCTAATTCAGAGACCTTTGATTTGACTATCCTTGGACGCTGGCAAGGCACCAAGCCTTCTCCTCTTCAGATGCTTCATAAGCATTCTAAGAAACCTCCTATCGCTTCTCTTTTGTTAGAGTCTCCTTCCACTTGCAAGACCCGCTGGTTTAACGAAGACAATCCTTCAGGTGATGGGGACCAGGAATTGCTTTTTAACCTTATTCAGATGCACCCTCAGGAGATATGCAGAATGCCACTCGCGATCGAGGTCCAGACTGTGGATGGGATCCCAGCTTTGGAGGCTGGGCAACCGATTGCTGTGTGAGATGTTAAACCTTTCTTGTATGCATTGCAATTTTTAATTGCCTAGCTGCAACGCTGCAGAAACCTAGGAAGCTTCCTTACCCTGAGTCAAACCAATTGCCCGTCTTGCTCAGTATTGTAAAAACTGACTGGCAGCAGCTCTCTAGGATTGCTGGCAGGGATCTCTCCAAGTTCTCCCTGGAGATGCTAGTGACTGAGCCTGGTATCTTCAGCATGCAAGGGAGATGCTTTACCACTGAGTTACAACCCTGCCCCTATTTCTATGGTTGCAGACTTTGCTCTGTCTCAGTACCTCCTAACATTCTGTGCACTGCAACTGCAACCTATCTGCTTCTTTCTCTGAGCAGGCATGATGTCATCACTGGCTTTTCCTGCATCAATGCTGAACAAGCGAAAGGGCAACTCTGCTACGACTACCGGGTGCGGTTTACCTGTTCAGCACCCTTTTGCTCCAGTAAGTTTCTAAGCATGCTCTTCTAATAATTATGCAGTGATAATCTGCTATAGTTGCAAGAATGAACGCTCTCACCTTTAGCTTATAGTGTTCCCCATACAGGTAAAGAGAAGAGAAAAAATAATGCAGCCACCTTCTCCTGTCAGTCTGGTGCAGCTTGGGGTGGTGTCATAATCCCACATTTCACATAAATAGCCACATTTCAAATTAGAAAATGCAAATATCCCCACCACCAAGGAATGGCACACATGAACAGCATTCTCTAGACTACAAGCGCATCACATTCTGAAAGCAGGTAGCTCAAACAGGTGAACTAAGACACAGATTATGTACACACTGTGCCGTATACAGTCCTAAGGAAGGTAGCATCTGGAGGGGAGAGCAAAGAACAATTGCCTAAGGAAGAAGCAGAGGGCCATAGCATTTCCTGGGAGGGATGACTGCATCACATTGGTCCTCATCCTTTAGCCTCAAATTGCAATCTTTCTTGATAGGTGAGATCCCACCCACCCTGGGACCAGAGCCTGTTACACCTCCTGCCCCAACTCCCACCTTGAAACAAGTTGAAAGCAGTCCAGAAATCCCAGTGAAAGGTACGTATGCCACCCTATAGTTATTCCAAGAAACACTTGGGATATATAACAAAAGTGTCAATGATCCTATCCACGTGTGGGAGAAAAAGCCCTTCTCTGGATGCCAATCTTGGGAGAAGAACTAAAAGGTGAAAATTTCATATACTTTGGTAACATGAAGTGGAACTACAGGAGCTGAAAGCTACACAAACTTGCTCAAATTCCGGAATTAATTTTAGGAATCCTTCTACGTCATTTGTTTGGAATCCCAGGGAATGGAAAGCAGGACAAAGTTAGCTAAAGAGCCAATAAAAATAGTAGAAATAATCCCATCTCCTAGCAGTGGCAGATTACATACACGTTATGCAGTATATAGTCCTAAAGAAGGTAGCATCTGGAAGTGGAGCTCAAAGAGCAATTGCCTAAGGAATAAGCAGAGGGCCACAGCATTTCCTGGGAGGGATGACTCCATCGCATTGGTCCTCATCCTTTAGCTTCAAATTGGAATCTTCCTCCATAGGTGGTGAAATCCTATCCACACCTGGTCCAGAGCTAGTAACATCTCCTGCCCCAACTCCAATCTTGGAAGAAATTAAAGGCAGTCCAAAAATCCCAATAAAAGGTAGGCATGCAACACTATTTTGAGAGATACTGGGGATACATACAGAAGTGTCAAAAGTCCTATCCGTGTGCTAGAGAGAAAAGTGGTCTCTGGATGCCATTCTTGAGAGAAGACCTAGAAGGTTCAAAACTTCATGCACTTTGGTAACATGAAGTGGAAAGCAAATGTGAAGGGACTGTAAAGTAAAGCAAACGGAACTGAACCCCAGGACTAATCTTAGAAAATTTCCTAGTTAATCCCACCAGAATACAAGGGGAGTGGCAGGCATGACAAAGTTATCAAAATATGCAATAAAGGGGTGATAGAAATTATCTCGTTCCCCAACATCGGGCCCTGTAGCCCAACACTCTCCAGTCTACAAATGAATCACAGTCAGAAAGCCAGAACACGGAGTTGAAAAACCAACTGCTGGTTAAGTCCCACATTGTATGCACTATATGTTTGGGTTGTATACTGGATTCGTCCAAATCCCAAACTGAATCAGGTCAATTCTGGGGGTCTGGGTTCAACCAAGTCAATTCATGACAGCACTGGATAGCCCTGGGTTAGGCCATCTGGGAGAAATGGCATTGGACAGGAAGACTACAGGGGGTCTCTCTGACCAGAACATTTGCCAGTGAGCAAAGGATTCAATACTTTGAGTTGAGCAAAGGATTCAGTCATGTGGGCTGGTGCAGTCCTGCAGGGAAGGTTGAGATTTTTTGGCAGGGGAGATGCAAATTCTCCTCCTTCCTCTTTCCTTTTCCTTCCCTTATGTTTAATTAGGGTTCTGGAAACCCTAATTAAACATTGACCCCACCCCAAATTGAATTAGTTCTGGATCTGGGGCAGGTGGTCTCCAGATTGGGTCAGGGGAGTGGCACACAGCCCTTCTATATATGATCCTTGAGAAGGGATGAAAAGGAAGAACAAAGAAAGGGATGGTGAAGGTCAAATAAATATGTAATGGAATGTAGCTTTTCCTTCAAAGCCTCCCACAGTCACACTAGTCCCCTTCCTTCAGCCTCAAACTCATCTTTTTCCATAGGTGGTGAGATCCAGTCCACACCAGCACCAGAACCCGTTACACCTCCTGCTCCAACTCCCACCTTGGAGCAAGTGCAAAGCAGTCCAAATATCCCAACAAAAGGTATGTATGCAACACCTGTGCTGTTTCAAGAGATGGTCTGTTTGGAATAAATAAGGGTAACCTATAGTATTCCCCTTAGGGACGCAGGTGGCGCTGTGGGTTAAAGCCTCAGCGCCTAGGACTTGCCGATCGAAAGGTCAGCGGTTCGAATCCCTGCGGCGGGGTGCGCTCCCGTCGTTCGGTCCCAGCGCCTGCCAACCTAGCAGTTCGAAAGCACCTTCGGGTGCAAGTAGATAAATAGGGATCGCTTACCAGCGGGAAGGTAAACGGCGTTCCGTGTGCTGCTCTGGCTCGCCAGATGCAGCTTCGTCATGCTGGCCACGTGACCCGGAAGTGTCTGCGGACAGCGCTGGCTCCCGGCCTATAGAGTGAGATGAGCGCACAACCCTAGAGTCTGGCAAGACTGGCCCGTACGGGCAGGGGTACCTTTACCTTTACTTATAGTATTCCCCTGGTAGAGAGCAGATTGCTCTTAGGATATTCTATACATCCCTAACCCTTTTGCCTAGAAGGAAACAGGAAACAACAGAGAAAGCAGAAAGAGCTTAAAACTAAATACAGTGGTACCTCGGGTTACAAACGCCTCAGGTTACAAACGCTTCAGGTTACAAACTCCGATAACCTGGAAGAGTTACCTCGAGTTGAGAACTTTGCCCCAGGATGAGAACGGAAATTGTGTGCCAGCGGCGCAGCGGCAGCAAGAGGCCCCATTAGCGAAAGCACGCCTCTAGTTAAGAACAGTTTCAGGTTAAGAACGGTCCTCCAGAATGAATTAAGTTCGTAACTAGAGGTACCACTGTATAGGAAACTTACCTGGAGAGGGGAAATCAGATGCAATTTTATTTGTTCAAAGTAGGAAAAATCGCAGAAGCGTTTTATGTTTTTTAATGACTTGCCCTCAAATAAATACTGGTCTATTTATCTAAACAAGGGTAGGGTTGAACCATTAACAAAGAGACCTTTTCATTTGGACTTCCTTGAGCACAGTTGGTCAAAGCACACCATAACTGCTTCTGTATAAAACAAAGCCCTGTGCTCCCCACATTCACTATAATAGGTAACCAAATTGGATAAAATTTGCAAACACAGGAGCCCCTCTAGAGGAGATTAAGCCTGCCAAACTGCAGGTGTATAGGTTTAGTTGCTTTATGTGGGGGAAGTAAAAGGTATTATTCCCCCCCCCAAAAAAAAAATTCTTGGGGAAGGGATTCATTTCTTGCTCTTTTCTACCTCAAAATAATTAAGAGCTGGCTAAGCGGCATGTATTCCCGCATATATTTATATACTGCAGCCTCACATCAACCTTTCCCTTTGGGAGCTGAGTTCAAACCCCACTCAGACCAGGGTTTAAATTCCTACTTAGCCATGAAAGTTTTTCCTACCTCAGAGGGTTGCCATGCGGATTTAAAAAATTAAGTGAGGAACAATGTATCATGCTACCTTATGCTCCTTGGGGGATAGGTATGATATAAATGAAATAATGAAATAAATAGCATTCATGCAAGAACATTTTCACTCCAGCCATCAACCACTTTTCTACAGGTGACCAGAATCAACCTGGAGCAGGATTAGAGCCTGTTACCCTTCTAGCCCCAACTGCTGTCTCTCCAGAAGTGAAAACTGGATCCCAGGTTCAAGAGGAAGGTGTGTGTGTGCGTGCGTGCATGCGTGCATGTCAGCAATATGCCTTCATTTGTGTTACCTGCTCCAAGTCGGCAGAAGCATGGTTGCTTAAAATCGACTTAATTAAAACTTGTTATTCTTTTTATAGGATTGTCTCCAAAGTTAGTCCTACTCAGAGGAGAACAATTGAAAATAATGAACATGACTAAGTTAGGTCCATTAATTTCAATAGGTCTACTCTGAGTAAAACTCAGTTGACTACCACTCCAGTATCTTGAAGGGCAGGCATGGGCTGGTTGGCTGAAACACTGGGCAGGAGCAATCCACTCTGCAGCATGTTGTTGTAGCTCTGGCTTGTTTCCACTTGGGGGCGAACAGAGAACGCCTTCCCATTGTTATCACTGTTTAATGAGCTACAACTCATATTTCTTTTTCTTCTTCAGCTTGCAAGACCAATTGGTTTGACCGGGATAATCCTTCTGGGACTGGGGACTACGAACTTCTTTCTGACATCATGGATGAAAATGAAATTGACGCAATCTGTCTTGATCCAATTGCAATTGAGGTCCAGACAGTGGATGGGATCCCAGCTTCCGAGACTGGGCAACAGTTTGCTGTGTAAGATTCCGTGGGATGAGTTTGGAGATGATTGGCAGAGGTTGTCTGAGCTGGCTCTTAAGTGAGCCTAGTTGGCTGTCTATAAACGATTTTCTTTGGCAGCCAAGACTGCTCCACGTTGTATCTGGCAGATGTTGTGTGCACTGCTTCTTTGTCAGCTGTGAAGGTCTCCCCAGACATCTCATAGACACGGGTTTACCATCTCCAGAGAGAAGGTGGCCTTGAATGGGAATAAGGGCGTTTGCCTTTATGAGAACTTTGGCGATCTGTGAGTGGGTTGAGTGAAATAATAGAATTGTAGGGTTGAAAGTAGCCTCCAATTATCGGTAGTTCAACTCTCTGCAATGTAGGAATCATAGATAAATCATTTCTGACAGAGGGCCACCCAACCTCCAATGAAGTAAGGTCCACCCCATTCCAAGAGCCAAGCAGCTCATACCAAAAGAAAGTCCTTCCTAATGTCTACTCAGAATCTCCTTTCTTGTAAATTGAAATAAGCATTGTGGACCTAATTCTAAGATTTGATCTGTCCTCTGGAATAGGCGCATGGGGTTTTTGCAGCTGAGGCTGTCATGGAACTGAAACTATCATCCCATGTTGGAAGCATCATTTTACAGCAGGCATAGGCAAACTCGGCCCTCCAGATGTTCTGAGACTACAACTCCCATCATCCCTAGCTAACAGGACCAGTGGTCAGGGATGGTGGGAGTTGTAGTCCCAAAACATCTGGAGGGCCAAGTTTGCCTATGCCTATTCTATAGCTGGTCAGTTGGGTACTTGCAGCCCTGGAAGCACAGCTTCAGTTGCACGACAGCTTCAGGGTCTGACTTCCCCATAAGCCATGACAGCTTCCTTCACTCCTGTTTGTGGGTTTGGCTTTCCCTGCCTCCCTGGCCATGCTGGGATGTCACCTCAAATGACTGCCAGAGCTCTATCTCCTTCAGCTGTTCCATGTCTGCTTTGCCTCCTGTGATCCAAACAGGAATGATTCTGCCCGTGGATTTGCCTGCGTCAACGCCCACCAGGGAAAAGGCGTCATGTGCCTTGATTATCAGGTGCGGTTCACCTGTCCTGATGCCTTCTGTGGTGAGTAACAAAGACCCCGCCCAGCTCAATCATACAAGAAAGCAGAGCTGATTGAAAAGGCTTTGCATTAGGGATAAGGTGGCGGGGTATCTTGCTTTGCAGGGAGCAGTCCTCTATTTGAATTAAAAAGTCCTAGAATTGTATAGTGGGAAGGGTCAAGCCTTCACCTAGGTTGGATCTAGACACATCAAAGAAGCGATCAAGTTAAATGTGTTGTAAACGTCATACAGGGAAGTTCCATTGGTGAAATATGGGACTCCACAGTGCCATTTGATCTCATAGTGTTTTAACACATATAAAGCTACGCATATAAAGTCGCTGAGTCCCTAGTCCAGTGATGGCAAACCTTTTAGAGACCGAGTGCCCAAACTGCAATCCAAAACCCACTTATTTATCGCAAAGTGCCAACATGGCAATTTAACCTGTATATCTCATTTTTTTTCCGTTTGTTTCATGTTTCTTCTTTATGACTGCTGTTGTAATAAATAATCCTTCATAAAAGTTACGGCATTACATTCCTCATTAAATTATCTTTCCATTGACATATAATTTTATGATGTAACTCAGTGCTTTTTTTTCTTCTCATTTTGACTCAAGAAAATCACCATCGGGTGAAAATAAACACAGTTCAAATTGGGGAAAAGAAATTCACAAAATGTTTTGGGGTATGCGTCGCCCTGCGTCCCCACAGAAAAAAAGCACTAGTATTACTCCGAAACAAAGTGGTGTTATGAGCTTCACACCTCGGAAATACTTTTTTTTTTTTTTTAGAAGGTTCCACAATTTTGGCCACTAGTGTACACTGGAGGGCTATACTAAGAGCCACCCTCTCCCAAATTTAATACTAGATAATAAAGATTGTCTGTGTGCGCACATACAAATAAATATAAATAAATAAATATATAAACTCCGCCAGATGGGCGGGGTATAAATAATAATATATTATTAATTATTATTATTATATTTTGCCGTTTCTTCGGCTGCCGTTTGATTGCAGCCTCCACGGAATGAATTTCTCTGTTGGCTTCCGTGGGAAAGTTCAGCGAACATGTAAACCCAGCAGCCCCTTCTTAGGTTGCCGCCTTTATATGCTTACTGGTCTGGGAGTTAAGCCCTGCTGCACTCAAGACGGCTTACTCCCGAGTAGGAAAAACAGACTGGCGGGAGGCCCTGGCGCATCAAAAGTCAATGCCTGCTCAGCCCCTCGCTCGCTAGCCAGGTCCTGGTGCCACAGCCTTGGGATGGCGCGAGGCCTCCTCCTCCTCCCCACCCCTGGCAAGTAAGCTACAGCCCTGCTGGGGCAACAGTGTGTGTGCCCACAGAGAGGGCTCTGCGCCCTCTCTGGCACACATGCCATAGCTTTGCCACCACTGCCCTAGTCCAACCCCCTACAATGCAGAAATCACAGCTAAAGACTCTCTGACAGGTGGCCATCCCAATTTCGCTTTAAGAACTTCCAATGGAGCAGAGTCCGCCACCTTCCAAGGTGGTCCATTCCACTGTCAAACAGCTATTACTGTCAGAAAGTTCTTCCTAGGTAAAGGTAAAGGGACCCCTGACCAGTAGGTCCAGTCGTGACCGACTCTGGGGTTGCGGCGCTCATCTCGCTTTATTGGCCGAGGGAGCCAGCGTACAGCTTCCGGGTCATGTGGCCAGCATGACTAAGCTGCTTCTGGCGAGCCAGAGCAGCGCACGGAAACGCCGTTTACCTTCCCGCCAGAGCGGTACCTATTTATCTACTTGCACTTTGATGTGCTTTCGAACTGCTAGGTTGGTAGGAGCAGGGACTGAGCAATGGGAGCTCACCCCATTGCAGGGATTCGAACCGCTGACCTTCTGATCGGCAAGTCCTAGGCTCTGTGGTTTAATCCACAGCGCCACCTGCATCCCTAATGTCACCTAAATTACATATATGTTTCCAGCAGGAAAAGGCCAGCCTGGGGTGGAATCCACATCTGTTGCGACTGCTGCACCTGTACCAGCAACACAGGAGACGAACCAGTTCCCCACTCAAGGTAAGGAATGGAGGTGTGTGCAGCTGAAGAACTAGAAAACCTGGAAACATTAAGCCACACAGCTCCTCGTATACACAAATATTATTACATTATTACATCCCCCACACATTTATATTCCACGGAGCTGTGACCTTCATTGGGGAGGAAATTTTCAGGCAAGGAAATGCTTTTGAGACGCCACTCTGCACTTCCTGTCCTGCGGAGTTGAGGAAAGGCAGTGGTGGAGCACATGGGAAACATAGAATCATAGAACTGCAGAGTGGGAAGAGACCCAATGTTCATCTAGTCCAGTGCCCTGCAATGCAGGAATAATCCAGCTTCAATCCCAGCTTTTCTACGGATTGTTCCAATTTAGCAGTAATCAGGGGGGAGGGGCGGTTTCCCAGGGAAAGCGACAGAGCGAAAGGAAAACCTCTGGGACCCTGTGCCTTGAAATCGCAGAACGAAGAGAAGAGATTATGGGACAAAGTGTAGATGAGCCCTCGGTGTGGAGGTGTTACTAAAGGAAAAGGCTTCAGCATCTATCCTGATTTTCCCATTTCTTTCCTTTTTACAAAAAAATGTTTTTATTAACGATTTCAACATAACAAATTATCAAAGCATATCATACTCATTTTTTCCCCCTTTCCCCACCACCCCTTCGAACCCTCCCCCCCAAACTTCCCTAAGCTCCTCTCTCTGATTTCTCAGCACATATTATCCTCTGCATGTTATGAAATTATATATATCTTTATCTTTATTTTTTTTGTTTTGAGCCCTCTGGCTTGGGCCGGGGCCTGCATAGAAAAGATAAAAACCGTGCAGCGCAGAGGCAGGCGGTGGGCTCCGAGTGCGAGGCGACGTTGCTGATGCGCGCTGAGGGGACGGGGTGCTAGGCACTGTGGAAGGCAGCGCAGCATTGCTGGGGGAGCTTAAAGGCCAGGGCAGCTTACAGCAGGGACCCCCCCCCAAATAGAGCTGCCCCGAAAGGGGAGGGGGGCAAGGCGGTGGCTCCTTCTGTACCGTTTTGTTTCAAGAGCAAGGAAGTGGCGCTTCCTGTCAACAGCGCCTCCCCAAGGCACTTGTGGGCAGGTTTATCTTTATCAACCAATAGATTTGGGTATGTTTATTCAAAACCTGCCAAGGAGTCCAGTTCATTTTGTTGTCTTTTTAGATAATTTGTAAAATGCTCCCGTTCTTCCTTAAAGTCACAGTTGTCCTTGTTCCACAATTTGTATGTCAATTTAGCCAGCTCTGCGTAACTCGTCCATTTTTCTTGCCACTGTTCTTTCGTTGGGAGATTTCCCCCATTTTTTTCCAAGATCTCCCTTCTCAGAAGTAATGGCGCCAATCACTTTCCCAACAGGGCAGGATCAGTCTGGGCTGACGCCTGCAGCTAGCACACCTGTTGACTCTCTACCTGTGCAGACAACGACAGCAAATGCCCCCATCGAAACTGTGCCAGTCCAAACGACTCCCCAAAGCCCTGCACCAGGTATAGAGCAAAATCCAAATGAAAAATTCTAGCCATGAATTGTACATCTCATTATCATTATTATTAACTGGACACAAAGCTATCGTGTCTGGATCTCAGGGGACTGCAACGCTCTTCATATTGCATCTCTTTAATTTTGCGTGAATTAGGCTGTTTTCTGTTCATTTGCCCACCCTGCCGACTTGCAACTATGCTGACATGTAGGCCTGTGTTTCTCAGAAGTTCAGTTCATTTGGACCTCTGTGGGTGGCACTGTGGGTTAAACCACAGAACCTAGGACTTGCCAAGCAGAAGGTCGACGGTTCGAATCCCCGCAACAGGGTGAGCTCCCGTTGCTTGGTCCCTGCTACTGCCAACCTAGCAGTTCGAAAGCACGTCAAAGTGCAAGTAGATAAATAGGTACCGCTCTGGTGGGAAGGTAAACGGCGTTTCCGTGCGCTGCTCTGGTTCGCCAGAAGCGGATTAGTCATGCTGGCCACATGACCCGGAAGCTGTACACCAGCTCCCTCGGCCAATAAAGAGAGATGAGCGCCGCAACCCCAGAGTCGGCCATTACTGGACCTAATGGTCAGGGGTCCCTTTACGTGCTCTGAAAACATAGATGTCCATGGGTTTACTTTTATTGAAACCATAAGCAGAGAGGAATATGGGGCTGGGAAGTTTGCAACAATTTCTAATACTCTACTCTCTTGGTTTCTTCTCCCTTAGTTTGCAAGACAAAATGGTTAAACCGGGACAATCCCAGTGCAACTGGGGACTATGAGCTGATATACTACCTCAAAAAGGACTACCCAAAAGCCATTTGCAACAAGCCAATTGCTATCGAGGTCCAAACTGTGGATGGAATCCCAGCTTCTCAGACAGGACAGATATTTTCCAGGTGAGAATTCCTTTCTGGCTTGGGTTGGGAAGGCGGAGATGATGGCTATAGATTGCATCCAGTGTTAATTCCAATCTGTTGAATTAATGAGCCTGACTAACATAGGTCCATTAATTTCATCAGCTCCTCTCTAAGTAGAACTTAGTTGGCTAGAACTGTATAATTTTGTTTTATTTTGCATTTAAGACCAGGGTGGAATCTACACACATTTAAAAAAATGCTGTGAAAATGCTTTTTTAAAAAAATCTAGTGTCACATTTGTATATTGCACTTTACAAAACATTTAAAATGTTTTATTTGCAGCTGTACAGGGGAGTCCCAGGAATGGGATGATGAATGGGATGGCTTAACTCTGAGAGGCACAATGCTCTTTCAGCATTAGAGAATGGTTGTCCCTGAAATCACCTTCACAGGAATTTGAACGGTGTACTCATGCCATCAGTTTCAATGTGTGGCTATTTTGGGAATCTGCCTTATTTCACCTACAAATGATTTTTAAAAATAATAATAATGGAAGGAAATTTGAGAAAGTCACCCTAAACAAATAGTAGCAGCAATTAGAAAAAACAGAATCATAGAATTGTGGAGTTGGAAGGGAAAACCAGTTCAACCCCTGCAATACAGGAATTGTAACTAAAGAATGCCTGACAGATAAAGGTAAAGGGACCCCTGACCATTAGGTCCAGTTGTGGCTGACTCTGAGGTTGCAGCGCTTATCTTGCTTTATTGGCCGAGGGAGTCGGCGTACAGCATATGGACAGCATGACTAAGCCGCTTCTGGCGAACCAGAGCAGCGCACGGAAATGCCGTTTACCATCCCGCCAGAGCGGTAGCTATATATCTACTTGCACTTTGACATGCTTTCAAACTGCTAGGTTGGCAGGAGCTGGGACCAAGCAAGTGGAGCTCACTCCATCGCGGGGATTCGAACTGCCAACCTTCTGATCGGCAAGTCCTAGGCTCTGTGGTTTAACCCACAGTGCTCTGTTTAAAAACTTCCAAGGAGAGTCCACTACCTTCCAAGGGAGTCCATTCCACTATTAAACAGCTCTTGACGTTGGAAAGCTCTTCAGCCCTTGCAAAGGCACAATAAGTTGACAGGCAGTTCCTGCAAACCCAGCTTTGCCACGACTTTTCCTGTCCTGCACCTGCTACCATCTATGGCATCAGGTGTGGGGCAGTTGACTATAGCTTAGCAAAAACAGCCTTGTGGGCCAAACAGGGAGGGTTGCCAGGTCTAGTTAGGCCTGTTGGCTAAAGGTTCCCAACTTCTGATGTAAGCAGGAAAACAATCTGTGCACAATACTGTCCACTGGAGTTCAACCAGCTTTTGCCACCTATACTGGAAATCAGGAACTGGCCACTCTCTCAAATTTGGCTACTATTTTTCCCCCATACCTGTCCCCCATACTCTGCCTTGTGTCATTGAGCAGGAATGATGCAGTCAATGGGTTCGCTTGCATCAATGCCCAGCAAGGAAAAAGAGGTGTCTGCCACGACTATAAGGTCCGGTTCACCTGCCCAGACTCTTTCTGTTCAGGTGAGTGTCCATATCACATCCAGTTTTTATATGGAGCAGCCAGGGGAAATGGGTTGTGCAAAGGATTCCCCTCTTCCAAGCTAACAGTGAACTACCCAATATCACATGTCATGTGCCCAGTATTCACCATGCCAACTCTCTTCTCCTGTGACTTGGCTGGATGTGTCTGAAATGCTTGTCATCTGAATTTCTCCCCAGATTGGGGAGTTTTTGAACTCTTAGTCTTATTTCTGCAGGAGGAGCCAATGTCTTGAGAATCCACCATTGTTCTGTTTAGTTTTTAATTTCCAAATTGCACACACACCGTTGGCTGCTGGAGAAGGGGGAGCAATGTGATTCAGTTTGCATTTAAAGGCTAATCCACACTTTCCGAGGCAATATGCGAACTGATACACAGCCATCCTTTGACATTTGCACTTCTCTGAATTGTGCTTTTTGGTTCTCCAGCCGAGTAATGTGTGCAAAAATGCAGCCACGAAGGAAAAATGTGCATAAAAATTGATATCATCGCGAAAATTATATACAAAAAATGTATGGAAGTGCTTTGCAAAAATGCATTAGGAAAAAATTGTACTAAAATGTTGGTGAATTTTCATGAGGATTTTTTATGATTATTGCTATCTGATGCGGAAATGCAGAGATCTGAATTTAAGGCTGGGAAAATGAGGAAATGAGAGAAACTGAAATTGGCAGATTCATCTATCTCTGTTTGCTGCATCTTCCAATTCTTTCAGATCTCTCTTCCAACACTACGGACATACATAGTTTAAACATTGCCAAAAAGGGGGGGTGCAATTGTATGTATGATTGCAAAAGGATTCATGTGTGGTGCTTTACCAATGCTTTGTGCCTGTGTGTATGCTGAGAAAAATGGCAAAAAAGCATAGTTGATCTAACTGTGCATACAGTTGGTGTCGTCCTCATTCTTTGCTTTATCAAGGTCCTGATGTACCAGTAAAACACTGCACAAAATTAATCCTGAAGCAATTGTACATACAACCACAGCAGAGTTCCTTTGTTTCAGTGTTTTATCTATGCAGATAAGTCAATAAATGAAAAGATTTTCAGACCATTATGCTTGTTTAATGAATTACCAATACACAGGGAAGTTGAGCTTTAGAGATATGGGGAGGAAGGAACTGAATCAGTCCAGATTTTCATGCTGGATTTCTGTTTCCTCTCCTTAAGGAAATGACCAGAAAGGTGTGAAGGAGGAATCCCCATGAGCAGTCAGCTGCAGTCTTCAGCTTCTACTCATCTCTGGAAGAAGGTGGCGTCTTCTCATTCATCCTTGCTGCCGGCCTATAGCTCATACTTAATGCAATAAAGTCTCAAACGCAACCCCCAACCTTGATGGTGGTGTCGAATTCTCTTCACAATTACTTTGCAACTGCTCAAAAGGCTTCAAATTTAACCGTTTATAGAAACAGCAGTGATGGAGCTGACATCATGTCATGTGAAAACAATGGAAAGGGTCACAGTTCAATGGCAGAGCATCTGTTCTATATGCAGAATGTCTCTGGTTCAATCCCTGGCATATCCAGGTAGGGCTGGTAAAGCCCAGGAGAACTGCTGCCAGTCTAAGATAAATGGGCACATGACCTGGCTTGGTATAAGGCAGCTTCCTATTTAAATCAGCCCTTTATTTAGAACCATTAGGTCTAGCATCTTACTTCATATTTGGAAGACGGACCAGAACTCATTGGTAGAAGACATGTTTTGCATGCAGAAGGTCCCAGGGACACCAGAGAGGACCTGTAGCTGAAACCTTATTTGGAGTTGTTTGCAAATATTTTTGAAACAAATGAATATAGCTTGTTAAAAATAAGAAGAATTAACGAAGTATCTGTACTAGTAGTTGGTTTTTTCTGGTGGTAGGCAACACACTTGAAGCATTCAGCTTAAAGGAAGGTTGTGGACTAATACAACCTTCCCTAACCTAGAGCTCTCTAGGTGTTCTCAGACTCTCTAACTCTCATTATCCCTGACCATTAGCCATGCTGGCTGTGATTGACAGAAGTCCAATGATATTTGGAGGGCTGCAAGATCCCCATCCCTGATTTAACAGATCAGGTTGGGGAAGGTTGGACTGACATCAGTTGAACGTGGTACGTGACCCCTCTTAAAATGCCCAGCAATATATGGAAGGCTGAAAGTTCACCACCCATTCTGCAATGGGACAGAGGTTTTTTGGTGGTTTGGAACCCAATGAACACACAAATGGGGTGTAGGCTAAAGATGTTATTGCACAGCCCAAAGAAAACCACAAAGCACTGCAATTAGTTTACATCCCTCAGATTGCTGTGAACCCTATCAGCAATGGTCATGAGTCCTGAAGGTGGAGCTTGGCTGGTACACAGCACTCTCGGTGGATAGCATTTCATAGACATTCCACCAGAAGAGGTGTTCTCGGGGCTTGTACACTTTTGTGTATAACATAGTTTCTGGGATAACACATCAGCTACCCACCAAACTGGAAGACACCTGAGCAGGCAGCCAAAACAGTCAACTTCTAAGTGTGGGTTCAGCAGAAGCCTATCTTAAATATTAAGATTCCCGCATGGTGACATAAAATCTGTGAGAAACCACTATTTTATGGAACAACAGGATAGGAACAGAAGTAACCCTCAAAGCCTTTCTAGACATGAAAGGAACATTGCTGCGCACCTCAAAACAGCAATGATTTCCTGCAACATCCCAATATACCGTCCCTGACTTAATGGATCGAGTTGGGAAAGGCTGAACTAATTTCATTCTCATGTGGGGAGTGGCGAACCTCCTGCAATCACTCTTAAAATGTTTACATTAGTTATTCTGGCTCTGGGTAAAAACAGTCTTTATGGGCTGAGGGAGGGAAGCATTTAGGGTGACAGTAGGAGGTACCTGTCAGGAGCTCGTCCTACACTCGAGTAGGACCCTGGCAGAGATACATGCCCAACTTCTAATAGTACCTCAAAGCCAGATGGACGGATTGACAAGGTGGAGGCCGGGCTATCAGGAAACTAGTGGTCTGGAAATGTAACAACCAGTTGCTGAGATCTGGAGAAGGCAGAAGCTTTTTCCCCGTCAGGGTGTTCGCTCAACGTTAGTGGACTCCCATGCCCAACAACTCTTCCTTCCAGAATTATTCTTCCCCTGTTTGCCCACCTTTTGTTTACCTGCACTCCCTTTTACTTAAAACCAGAGATGACCCTTGGCTGTTGGCTTCCTCCTCTTCCCAGGTCTAACATTTGCCTTTGTAGAACTCAGCAGGGAAGAGGCTGGAGAAAAATCTAGAATTAGTTGCCTCTGTCTATCATCGGCTCTGGCGCCACCTGCTGTTGGCTCCCTGCCTTCCACCCTAGAGGTTCCAATGGGCACAAACCACCATGGCCCTAGACCCAGTGTCTACTTGGAGGCTGGATTGCCCACCAGCCAATAGAACATACGTGCTCTCTCTCCCTCTCTGCACCCAATGGACAACATGCACAGTTGATGTCACAATAGCTGCACTTCAGAGTGTCCCTGGCAGGCCTTCATCAACAACAGGCACTCACCTTGAGCAAGAGGCCCCAGAGATGGCATGGGGCCGCAACAGTGACTTGAAGAGCAGGCCCTCTTGAGGAGGTGAGGTGAGAGGGGCATATGCAGGTGGGCAGCATCTTCTGCCATTGATGGTGATGTCCTTTGTGTGAAAACTTCACAAGTTCCTTAACACTGTGGTCACTCTTCCCTGGGGTAGAATCAGTTACCCAGAGCTTCACAAACACACACTCCTCCCTTCATGCAAGCCATTCATGTTACCACAACTGAATGAAATGTTGCGGCCAAGCAGATAACCTGAAGAAGAGGGGCCCGTGAGGCACAGGAAGCCTTGGCTGGAATCCAGATTGAAAATGAATCCAGAAATCACTTTCAGTCAATAGTGCCTGCTTGCTGCTCTAGCACCATTTGCAGCAAGTCTCATTTTTGTTCAAAAATCTTGGGGAAATGTTCCCCATGTTATAAGCTAATTTCATCCTGAACTCTCTTTAATGCTGGCCATCAGGGATAGAGGAAATTCAGTGGTGCCCCGCAAGACGAAATTAATTCGTTCCGCAAGTTTTGCCATCTAGCGAATTTTTCGTCTTGCGAATTATTATTTAGACAAAGGAAACAAAGTCGCGAGACGTTTTCGTCTTGCGAAGCAAGCCCATAGGGAAATTCGTCTTGCGAGGCAACTCGCAAACGGAAAAACCTTTCGTCTAGCGAGTTTTTTTTTTCCAAAATTTTTTTATTAGTTTTCCAAACATGTAATAAAGACAAACAACAAAACAAAACAAAACATACACACAAATAAACATGTATAATTTCATAGACTCATTCTCCTTCACCTTGTTTCCCGGACTTCCCCATACCTCCCTTTTTCTGCATCCTTATTTTTCCCTTTTAACAGCAACCCTTCATTTCATTATTAATTCGTCTTCATTATAGCTCCCTTAAATTTATGATATACAGCTGCAATTCTCTATTTCTTAACACCATAACATCTCAGCACTCTTCGATTTTACAACAGTTTTTAAGGTATACTTTGAATTTCTTCCAATCTTCTTCCACTGTCTCTTTCCCCTGGTCACGGATTCTGCCGGTCATCTCAGCCATTCCCATGTAGTCAATCACCTTCGCTTGTCATTCTTCCAGAGTAGGTAGCTGCTGCGTCTTCCAATACTTTGCCAGAAGAATCCTTGCTGCTGTGGTAGCATACATGAAAAAGGTTCTGTCCTTCCTTGGCACCAATTGGCCCACCATGCCCAGGAGAAAAGCCTCTGGTTTTTTAAGAAATGTCCATTTAAGGACCTTTTTGATTTCATTATAGATCATTTCCCAGTAGGCCTTAATCCTCGGGCAGGTCCACCAAAGGTGATAGAAAGTACCTTCAGTTTCATTACATTTCCAACATTTATTATTGGGCAAGTGGTAAATTTTTGCAAGTTTGACTGGGGTCATATACCATCTATAGATCATTTTCATTATATTTTCTCTCAAAACATTACAGGCCGTGAATCTAACACCAGTATTCCACAGCCTTTCCCAGTCTTCAAACATAATGTCATGACCTATGTCTTGTGCCCATTTAATCATAGCTGATTTTACTGTTTCATCTTGTGTGTTCCATTTCAGCAGCAAGTTATACATTCTTGACAAGTTCTTAGTATTGGGTTCTAACAATTCTGTTTCTAATTTCGACCTCTCCATCTGAAAACCTATTTTCCTGTCCTGTTTATATACCTCGTTTATCTGAAGGTAGTGCAACCAATCTCGTACTTTAGACTTTAATTTGTCATAACTCTGTAATTTAACCCTTTCACCATCTTGCTCTAAGATTTCACCGTATTTTGGCCATTTGGACTCCATATTAAGTTTTTTCGTCTCTTTGGCTTTTTTCTAGATCTTTCTTCACCTCTGTCCAGCATTTGTCATAATTGTCTTTAAATAAATTCACATTTTTAGAAGTCAAGTTCACACCCAGGTACTTCACTTTTTTTGTTATTACTAAACCTGTTTCCCTCTGAAATTTCTCTTTTTCTGCCATTGTTAAATTTTTCTCCAACACTTTAGTTTTCTGCTTGTTCAATTTAAATCCTGCTACTTGACCAAATATCTCAATTAGTTCTAATACTCTTTTGGTACTAGTATCTGGCTGTTGCAAAGTCAATACAAGATCATCTGCAAATGCCCTTAGTTTGTAGTTTCTCGCTCCGACCTGAACACCTTTAACCAATTGGTCCCCTCTAATCATGTTTAGCAAAACCTCCAGGACTGTTATAAAAAGTAAGGGGGATATTGGGCACCCCTGTCGTGTGCCCTTTTCTATAGGTATTTCTTCCGTAACCACATTGTTCACAATCAACTTTGCTTTTTGCTTAGAATATATAGCACCTATACCGTTTTCAAAACCTTGGCCTACCCCCATCCCTTGGAGATTCTTCTTCATAAAGGTCCAACAAATATTATCAAAGGCCGTCTAGCGAGTTTTTTGTCTTGCGAGGCATTCGTCTTGCGAGGTACCACTGTTCTTGTTCTGTACACATTTTAGGCAAACTGGCTAAATTTGTCATTCATAGAATTTAAACATTACATAGAATTTAATTCATAGAATTTAAACAATACATACAATTTAAACATTATTTTGAAATATATATTTTTAAGAAGAAGATCTTCACAGAATGAGATTAAGTGCACTTATTTTTGAAATCATGCAGAAATGCCATGGAATGGAAAGGGACTGAACTATCCATCCCTATTTGTCACTACAG